CTTCACAATGCAAAGCAGTTGTCTGCTTATGAAGCGAATAGAACGCGTTTAGTAACTAAAGCTCTGTGGATCGTTGAAAGCGGTAAGCAATAGGCTCTTTTGCTTTGACAAAAGAGCTTGCATTAAATAAAAATTGACTAAACATTAACATCTGAATGATATAGTGAACGCAAAGTTAAAAAGTTGGAAGTTTATGGTTCAGACAATCCAGAATTCGTCCTTATCATTTGTAAGTGACTATTTGGATATTGTTTGCGCTCTCATAAATGCCTGCGAGTGTCCACTTATGAAAGACATCATAAATGGAAAAGAAATAGCGGCACGTATGCTAGAAATGTGGAACAATGATAATGCATTATAAAAGCGACTTGCACGGTATACTGGGCAGACTTCATTACATTGGTCTAAGCAAAACGCTGTATACTGTGGTTTTTCATTGCTTAATGATGAAAATATCCATAATCTAACATTTGGTAATATTGATATATGACTTTCATGAATTCGTCAATCTATTCCGTTGTTAAGGCTCATATCAAGTAAAAATGGCGAAGTCTTAACATCATTGATCACTTGCAACAGTCGCAGACAAATGATGACGATCTTGAGTTCATCATCGAGATCTGTAAGGAATACGAAGACTTGATTCGGCCACGATTTCAATCTCGGCATTCCAAGCAGAAAACTTATATAGCAACAATACAATTCGATTAAACTAAGCAACAACCAATTCAAGGTTGGTATTGTACTTGTTCATCAGGTGCCCGGGAAGTAGGAATGTGTTCACACATCACAGCTCTCTTGTAGCACATTGTGTTGAAAGTGCCAAATTTCGAACATCTGACTATCCACTTTCAACTAAAAGATTACTAGCTGGGTGATTCCATGGGATGTCTACCACAAAAAACACAAAGTGTTTTGATTCTTTTGTTTTCTATCAGATTTTGTAGAGAATTTTTCGCTGATCATTTTAGTAAAAAAAAACTTCGAACTTGACCCATAAATAAGGACGTTATTGTCAAAATACTAAACAATGACTTTGTATATTTAAAATACCATGCTTCTCAGTATTTTAACCCTACTAATTTTATTTTTCGGTCAATCAAAGAAAATTTTTTTATGAAAATGATCAGCATGAAAAGCTCTACAAGATGGATTATATTAATTTTTTTTTAAAGTCTATCTGCATGGTCTTTTCTATTGACATTCTTGAAACAACGAGAGAAAAAGTCGAACGTAAAATCTGAAAATGGCTATATTCTGAAGAGAGACGGCATATATGATTTTGTAGAGCGAAGTTTGCTCTACAAAACCTTTTATTCAGTTTTTCATTTAAAGTCGAAAAGCTTGCGTAAATCTTGACAGAACGTTATGAATAGCATTTCTCATAAAGTTAGGGTCACTACCCATTTAGTGAATTTTTAGATTTCATTTGTTTGACTCAATAATCATATCGAATAACTATTTTACTAAAAGAATATGAGTAA